GGGACGGCGGTGCCCGGGGCGCCGCAGCCTGTGGGAAACGCTCGCGCCCCCGGCTCTGGTTTCCTCGGGGAAGAGTTGCTCACCCCTGGGTGCCCAGCGTGGGAATGGAGCATCCCCTGCCCAGGGGGCGCTGCCTCCCCTCGGGAACAGGCGGCTTGGGACTGCTTCGCTCCCGGCACGCAGCTTCAGGCTGCTCGGGGCCGCCGGGTTGTCCGAAAGGCACGCGAGAAGGGCTGGGTGCAATGGTTGCTTAGCCCGGGATTCTTTGGAGGGTTGGCGGCCAGTAAACCCCGCATCGAGAATCAGAACCGTGTACGAAGGCAGGTCCTGATTCTGGTGCTTAACAGGAGGTGATAGGGGTGGGGCTCCAGAACCCGAGTGTTCCTCTACTCTGAACCGTGGGCGAGTGTTTAAAAATAGAAGGAACACATCCTGACGCTGCCCCCTTCCGCTCCCTTGCTCTCCTTCTTACCTCTCCCGCTATCCTTGAAACGTCAACGGTCTGAGAAGAAATGCCCTCGGTTCTCGATCAGAAAAGAGAAGTTTAAACTTATTCCTCAAGATTCTGGAACCTTTTGTAAAACCACTTTTGCTTGTTTCCTTGCGGTGGGGGTAGAAATGAAATCTGCATTCTGTGTGTGATTTTCCCTTGACTCTTTTTGCAGAGCTAGAGAGTTGCTTCTTCCGGCCAAACAAGAGTGGCCTGGGGATGAGCATCTTAGATTGTGAGATCCTTTGGGTGCTTTTTCAGGCCGTCCCTTTAAAAATAGTCCAGCCCATCTTTTAGTTTTGAGAATCAGGAATAATGTGAAGGCAGAGAGGGAAATTGACTTTGACTTCACTTTTCCTGTCTCTGTGATGGATTTCTTCGTAGGCAATACCTTTCAGCTGAGAAAGGTTGCGTTGGCAGATGAAGGACCTAACTGTGAGAATTTCCCCAGCCTCACTAAAGGAGACTTACGGAAGGCAGGTGCCTGAGATGTCATTTTGTGAGCCTTTTTTTTTTCTAAAAATGAAGAGGAAGACAATGGAACCCCAGGGCAGCAGGTGCCAACCTTTTGGGGTGAAATAAACGTAGAACTGGGACGTGATGAGGCTCCTCAGAGGCTGGAGACTGTGACCTGAAGCTTGTAAACAGATTCTTCCTTTGTCAATGATCAGGGTCACCCTGGGTTCAGGGAATACTTGACCCCTGGTTTGGAGTAAGTTAGGAGCCCATTTACAGATTGGGCCCCACCAATTTTGATGGAATCTCAGGCCTTTAATCAGGCCTCTGCTTTATCCAGTGAACATTTCAATGCTGTGCCTGCTGTGTGCTGGGAACTGCCCTGGGCATGGAGGGTGGAGCAGTGAATACTCAGCCCCTGGGGCTACAGGGACTCAGTAGAATTATCTCATGTGCTGTTACTCTTTTTACAAATGAGAAAACAGGCTTGGGGGATTCACTAGTCCAGAGCCACACTAGCAGCCGGGCTTAGTTTGGAACCCCGACTTGGTCTGAGCTGGAGATGGAGTTCTTGCTGATGCAGAGCTCTTAATCCTGCCCCATCCCACTTACGCAGAATGGACCCTATGGACCAAGCCTTCTGGAATTAGGACTTTGATTTTGTATCTGGCCTTGAATTTGAAGAGGGTGCAAGCATGTGGCTGGTAGTTTATTTGACTGCTATAATTGGGGTGTGTGTGTGTGTAAGAATTCTTTGGGTAGGAGGAAATAATGCAGTGATAGGGTTTAAGAGTTATTGAAGTTGTGTAATGGAATTGACCAGACCTGTAATTTGGGGGAAAGTCTTACATGGAACTAAGTGTTCTAATCTCTGAATATGTAGCTCTACTACTACTTGGACAGGTCATGTGACCTCTTACAGCGGTTCTCAACCTGTGGGTCACGAACAATGAAAATACATCCTGCATATCAGATATTTACATTATGATTCATAACAGTATCAAAATTACAGTTATGAAGTAGCAACGAAAATAATTTTATGGTTGGGGTTCACCACAACATGAGGAACTGTATTAAAGGGTCACAGCATTAGGAAGGTTGAGAACCACTATAAGAGGATGAAATCCCAGACTTCAGGCATTCCGTTATCATTAGGTGCTTGCTACATTGTATATACTACTACTATATTAGTATTTGTGTATTGTTTTCCTTTGGGTGATACTTATCCCTACTGTAAATGTAAAGGTAGTATTTTAAAAAATAAGTACATAATTTATAAGTAACAGTGGTTTGGATGATTTATAGTTTCTTCCAGCTCTAAAATTTTATGGCTTTATTTATTTTTTTTTCTGTATTCTTTTTTTTTATGGCTTTATTTTATAATTAGTATTTACAGATCTTTAGATTTAAGTTTTATTTGTGTGTTTATATGGGGCAATAAAACTGGCCTTTAGGGATTGCCAAGGTTCAGTGAGATCATTGTTATTGCTGCTTCCACTTTATGCGTGAGGAAACTGAAGATCAGAGAGATCAGTAACCTGCCCAAGGCAACACAGCAAATAAGTATATTTAAACCAAGTGGTCTGATTCCAAAGCCTGTGCACTTAATCCTGAAGCAAAACTGTCCACTAGGTCAGTTTTCTCTAGAGTCCCCTTGAAAATCTGGTAAACACCATGGACTCCATAAAATGAACTTACAGTCTTTCCCTCGAGTCCAAACTTCTGGTCAGGACACATAGAAGATAAGCAATAAGATGATTTGGGACCTACATTTTTAAAAATCCTGGCTTTGGAGATAGTTCTCATTTGATGTGCAGTAGTGCCTTTGAGCCTCCCTGTCACTTTTTCTATGCTGATTTGTTCAGGCCTTTTCTGTGGGCACTTATCCGCCCAGGACCCTTTCCTTGACCTGATTAATCAGTGTCTCAATGAAGAGGATTCTCTCTCTCTCTCTCTCTCTCTCCTATAGAGGCAGTAGAGGATCAAGATGAATTTGGGACTTACAGAATTAAGAAATTTAGGATTTCCTGGGTTTGAATCTTGACCCCATCACATACTGGGCGACTCTGGGTAAGTCACTAAGCTGGAGCTCCTCCTATGTAATAGGAGAATAGCCACATTCACCCCCTGGAGTGGTTGTGAGATCTAAATGAAACATTGTGTATAAAGAAAATACATTCGCTTGAGCTGGTGCATAGCACTGCTCAATTAGTGATAGTTATCATCTTCCAGCATTCAGGGGTTTCAAAACTTGGAGCAAAAGTCACTTATGAGTAGAAGGTTGGTAAATTTGGTTTGGGTATAAAGAGTTAGGCCCCTGCTTCCTTCATGCCAGTTGTTGGTAGCTTACACAGTGGTGTATGTATTAACTATTGGTGGGAAGAATCCTGGTAATGTTTGTGTAAAGTTGTGGCTATGCCAAAAAAACCCAAAACAAAACAAAACCAAAAAACCACAGTTAAAAAGAGAAAGAAAAAAAAGTAAGTCTCCTAATATCTTTGCTGTTCCTAATAACATTCCGGCAGCTTGAATTTTCAATCTTCTTGCAGGAGTAACTCCCTGCCTCGGTGGTTGTGCTGGCTGCCTCTCTCTGCCTTGTAGGGAAAGCTTGTGGAATGTATTGGACTTCATGTCTGACTGTCTCATGGAGTCAATGGCAAAACAAATGTAGTTTCATAGAAATGAAAGTGAATCAGGTTGTTGCTTTTGAGAGGTGGTGAGGGTGTTTCTATCTTGGCAGTTGGTTTATGAACCTATTGCTGGGGATATGCCCCTTTAAATTTGACTTCTGTTCTCTGAGACAGAGTGAGGTATCCTTATTCTCATAGTCTAAGGTGAGTCAGAAATGCACATTTTAAAATATCAACTTTATTGAGATATAATTCACCGTACTGTACAGTTCACCCATTTAAAGCATCCAATTGAATGGTTTTTAGTACATTCACAGTGTTGCACAACCATCACCACAATCAATTGAACATTTTCATCACCCTCAAAAGAAACCCCATTCTTGCCAGGTTGGTGGCTCAGTGGTTGAGCATTGACCTATGAACCAGGAGGTCACTATTTGATGCCCAGGTTGCACATGCCCAGGTTGCAGGCTCAGTCCCAAGTAGGAGGTGTGCAGGAGGCAGCCAATCAATGATTCTCTCTCATCATTGATTTTCTCTCTCTCGCTCCCTCTCCCTTCCTCTCTGAAATCAATAAAAAAAATATTTTTAAAAAGAAACCCCATTTCCATTAGCAGTCATTCATTTTTCCCCAACTCCACTTCCCCAATCCCTAGTCAACCACTCATGTAATTTCTGTCTCTATAGATTGGCCTATTCTGGACATCAGAAGTGCAATTTAAATAGTTTTCTCCAAGATAGTGGCGGTTGACCAGCTTTAGGCACAGAGTTCTTGATTGGAATTCTGTAAGTTGCTCTCTCTTCCTCAGGGGGATTTAAGTAGAGATGAGGTCCCAAAGACTGAACCGTGTCCCAGGGCCCAGGGAAACCCAGGTGTGCCTTTGTGTTTCCAACCCAGGAGAGGGAACTGGCTTTATTCTAGTTCATGGTACTTTGATGGATACAAAAGAGATTACCAAAACAAGACTAAGCATCTAGTCCCTTCTCTCAGTGAGCTTTTAGTCAGGTTGGGCAGGCTGTGTGATACTGAATCAAGCCTTACTCTTGGGTAGGTATTTTTCTGCTTCTGGGTAACACTTTTTTTTAACAAAATGAAATGAATGT